CCCTGGGTTGGGTTTGAGGAGAGGCTGGATGTGGCACTTGGTGCCTGCTCTGGCCCATGGAGGGGTGTCGGGGCAGGGCTGGGCTTGGTGAGCTCAGAGGGCTTTGCCAGCCTCAGCGGTTCTGTGAGTTTGTGATGCTGAGCACTCACCTCATCGAACACAGCTCTGGTAACGTCCCCGCACCGCAGCGTCTCGTTGCTCAGAGACAGCAGGTGAGCGGGGTTACACGGTGAGAAGTGCATGCAGCTCACCGGGAAGCTGTGCGGAACGAAGACCTGCGCTCCTTCTTCTGACTCGCAGCTCTGAAAAGCAATCACAGAATCACGGAATCATCCAGGTTGGAAAAGGCCCCTGGGACCATCAAGCCCAACCGCTGACCCTGCTCTGCCAAGCTCACCCCTAACCCATCTCCCCCAGCCCCACATCTCAACCACCTTCAAACCCCTCCAGGGGTGGGGATTCAATCCCTCCCCGGGCAGCCTGTGCCAAGCTCTGACCGCTCTTGCTGGCAAAAGATTTTTCCTAATGCCCGGTCTAACCCTGCCCTGTTGCAGTTGGAAGCCATTAAAGCCAGTCAAGACTCAGTGGGCACAAATGCCGATTACTGTTGTCATTTCCACTTAAATTACTGCGACACCACCCCCTCGCCACCACTTTCACCACTAGACACCTAATTTAGCTCAAAAGAATTTACTTTCGGTTTCAGAATTCTGTTTCCTAATTAGGAAAAGCAGTAACTTCCTGCTGTAGTTCAATGAGGGCAGTTCGGCCAATACCGGGACGTTGGCACCGACAGAACCACTTCTCAGCTGCCACAGCTCCGCACCTTGCTGAGGGCCAAAGGGATGCACACACCCTTTTCATCAAAATATGTGCATATCAGGTCACTCAGAACTCAAGTTGAATGACAGCGACCCAAACTGGAGGGAAAGCACCGTCTCCTGTAACTTCTCCTTTTGGCATCATTCAAGCTCTGTTATTTTAAAAGAGACCCCCTTGGAACAAGCACCAGTTCATGGCACAAAGTTTCCTCCGCTCCCACAACTGGTCAAGCGCAACTCACTTCAGGAAAATAAGAAAAGGGAGAGCAAAACGGAAAAGAGTAGCTTTAGCAACTCGAGGCTTCCACTGAAATAAATTCGCAAGGCCACAAGGAGAGGCTGCAGCACACGAGAGCTCAGCCTCCCCAAAACCAGACCCTGCTCCGACAGGGAGGAAAGCACCGCTGCGGTCAGAGCCAGGGGACCAGTTTGAACTTCTTCATAATCGAGTGAAAGTCACCGAGTCGAATTTAGTTGTGTTTCCCAAAGCTGTCAAAGCAGAAACGACTCGAAACTCGAGAGGTTAATGGCTTTGTGAAACAATGAACAGAGAAATCCGCTTGGGAAACAGGAGATGGCTGGGATCAGAGTGGAAGGAGCCAGGGAGGTTACAAAGTGTAACTCGAGGGTGCAGGAGTAGTTAAGGCAATTCAGAAGCGATGGGGAGACAACCTGCAAAGCCCTCAGAAGTTCTCGAAGCGCCAAAAGCTGAGCTTTTTCAGAGACAATGTAAGTGAAGGGGTGCCAGCATGTGCAGTGGCACAGCAATCCTATCTCTGCTGTCTGGAAACACAGGGACTCACCGCAGCTACCCAGAATTTGTACCAACTCAAAAAAACCCCACACTTGAGCATCCGTTTCCCCTGACTCTCCAAAACCTCTCCATCAGCCGTGGTGCTGCTACAAGGGCACTGCGATTAGACCCTGAACCCCCCACCAGTGCATTGCAATTTTAGCCCCCACAGATAACATTAGTTCAGCTAGAGACCCTTTTTCTCCCAAAATTACCAGCACAACCTTTCCTCCCGCCAAACCTGGGCTTGCCAAGGACCAGGAAGACCTTTTGCGCCGTTCTGGCAAGGCTCAGTGTAACACCCTGGTGTCGTCCGTAAAAAGAGGGAAACGAGGCTGAATAGAATGAGGCTGCACCTCGCGTGTGCCCATCCCGCAACACGCAGACCTGACAACTCACCACGTTCCAGAGCCCGACCTGCCCGGACTTGTCGCCAGCTGCCACCAAGATGACACTTTCAGAAGGGTGGATGGCCATGGAACATACGCGGTACTTCACCACCTTCTTAATGTTAGCTTCGCTGAGGAACATGCTGTTCAGGCTGTCTTGGTACCTAGACAACATCGTGAAAACATTTGCTGGTCAAGAGAATCAAAGAATCAGAATCGCAGAATGGTCAAGGTTGGAAGGGACCTTGAAGATCATCTGGTTCCAACTCCCTGCTGTGGGCAGGGACACCTCTCCCACCAGCCCAGGTTGCTCCAAGCCCCGTCCAACCTGGCCCTGAACCCCTCCAGGGATGGGGCATCCACACCCTCCTTGGGCAGCCTGTGCCAGTGCCTCACCACTCTCATGGGGAAGAATTTCTTCCTTATATCTAGAATTTCTCCTTTATATAAGGAAGGAGAATAAGGCAACACCTGCTTTTTAGCTGCTGCCTTGGGGTTACCTTGTCATGTCATACGTGTGCTCTTCGGTATCGTTAGCTTTCACCTACAGGTAGCAAGGAAATATCAGAATTAGAGGCCAAGTGAAATTACGCTATCCAAAACCGACTGGTTGTAACCAACGTTACCTCACTTATCCTCAGCCACGTGGCCAGTAAGTCGTCTGTCAACGGCTTGTCCCCCGTCTGATCTTCTGGCACCATCGGCACAGGCCCCGCTGGAACCCAAGGCTGGAATGACACGAGCAATTTCCCTGTGTCAGAATAACTACAAGTATAAATAGGGCAAATCGTTCCTTCCCACACACCAGGTATTCTCAGAGCACATCTACAGTGCTACAAGAAACAAACGTTAAAAAAAAATAAAAATGTGTGTCAAAATCTTATTAAAAAATAAACAGATCCTTACGGAACACAACAGCAAAGACAAAGAGCTACCCCATGATTTTTCCTCTCCTTTTTGATCCTCCAGCAAGGCTGATCCTCAAGAACCGAATTACAGAGATTTACCACCATGGGAGACTTAAATCCCCATCTCTCAGAGCAACAGAATTTTTACTTGTTGCTCTACAGCTACTTCAGAAAGGTAGTAAATATTTCAAAGGAAAATAAACCAGATCAAAAGCTACAGTGAAGTAACATTAAAACAGAGCAATAAAACCTGGAATTTAAACCTTGAAAAATGCAAAATGCTTTACCTCCTGATGATGCAAACCCGCACGATTCCATCAGCTCGAGTCACAGCACATTGACTCGGCCTCCAGCGAGCACTTGGGGCAGCTGCTGCTCGAGTTGCTCCAGGGTGAAAGAACCCACCTTTTTATTACTGCCACCCCGTAACGCGCCCTCCCAAACATCTGGAGGTTTGGACGATAAGCTCAGCGGTGACAGGTGCTATCAGTCAGCTTCACCGGGGCTGTTTTTATAAAGCTTCTGCGCACACCCCCACACCCCTCCAATCTCCTCCAACCCTTCCCCATCTCACATATTCCTCTGCTCCAGGCTGGGCAGGCACCTCCGGCATCGGGATTCCCGACGGCTCCACCCTCTGCAAGCGCATCGATCTGCGCCGCACCGGCTCATCTTCTGCCTTTTTAGGCTTAGCCCTAGAACAACCGCCACATTTCAGAATGACGGGCACAGCTAAATAACCCGGGTCCGCCGTGCTGAAGCACCCCATCTCACATATTCCTCTGCTCCAGGCTGGGCAGGCACCTCCGGCATCGGGATTCCCGACGGCTCCACCCTCTGCAAGCGCATCGATCTGCGCCGCACCGGCTCATCTTCTGCCTTTTTAGGCTTAGCCCTAGAACAACCGCCACATTTCAGAATGACGGGCACAGCTAAATAACCCGGGTCCGCCGTGCTGAAGCAGGAGCCCGCAGCCCGGACTCGCGCGGGACGGCGTCACCGCTCCGTCCCTCAGCGACAGCCAGCATCAACAAGAGCACTTTGCGCGGCGTACGCGTGTACTGCATTTTTATTTAGCTTGTAATACATCCCTTCCCGGCCCTTCCTTATTTATAATTCATCCTTCCACTTGCTGATCTAGTCATCCTCTTCCACTTTCTTTCATCACGTATCTTTATTTGGACTTAAGTTGATTTTTTCTGTGTCTGGCACTGTCAGATGTTTTTTTCTCCTACATTAATTAACCCAGCTCTTGCACCTAGTTCTCCCCCTTCTCTTTCTTTCCCACACTTTTTCCCATAGTTTTTTTTTTTTTGATCATTTAATATTTCTTTAGCTATCATGCAAAAATATCATCAAAAAAAAAAAGAAACTTGAAATATCTTAACACAAATATTACAAAAAGAACAAATTCTGTGACTTGACTAAAAGATATTGTCATTTTCTTTCCAAAGGATGGCAGAGGAAAGGCACCACTTCAGGGAGCTGCATGAATTCTTACAGCTTAAGGTAATCACTTATTTGGATTTAGCTTTATAGGGACACTGCTCACTGCTCTCCCTCTTGCAGCATCACGTAAGTACAGATGGATATGCTAAACCAGCTAACACACAATGAAGGACCTCAGGTACAGTTATTTTACCTTCTGGTGACGTTAGATTGTCTTTTAGTTGCAATTCCTTGAAGTCTTGCAGCTGACTTAAAGAGAAGGAAAAACAAAAGATTAAAAATATATATATAACACGCAGAAAAGATTAACCTGTACAAAACACAACTGTCCAAAGGCTGCAAGGAACTATACTGCAATCATTTATAACAATCATAAAAAAGGATTTTTTAAGCATCGAGCTGCGTTGTGTCTGCTCTGCTTCCATGCACTGGCAAGAATTCCGCACTTTTTAACCCAGGCAGGGCAGTCCCGGGGTCCGAAGTTTTCCTCACCCCCACCCAGCTGCTCAGGGAGGGATTCACAGCGAGAGGGGGGCGACAGCGCAGTTACTGCCCTTGGAGAGAGCAGTCTGATGCCACACAGAGTCGGCACAAACCTCATGCAGGTTTAAAGCTGCAAAGAATTTAGCATTTTCTGTAATGTTCTTCAGCCTTTTCCTTTCATACGCTGACAGCTGGGAGTATCCATCCTACAAGAAGAAAAGGCAGTCAGTGTTCACCCTACAGGTACAGGGCCGGCGAGAGATGTCTCAGGCTTCTGAGAAGTGAGTCTCTAAACAGGCTGATTCAATGATTTAGAGGTGGTTTACTTGTAAACACACACGCAAGCTGGGGGGTCCCGTATCGATACCAGATATGCACAGAGGTCCCAGCCGGCATCATGAAACTTATTCGTGACATTAATTCTACACAAAAGGGCAATTTACCAAGACCCTGCGAGAATAAAACCACCACCAAAGCGACTCAATAAACAACTGAGAACTCCCAGCAACGCAGCAAACGCTGCGAGTGAGAGAAATACACAGCCTTGGATCAGTTTTATCTATTTACAGAGGAGGTTGGACTGGACGGGTTGAAACAATTTAGATCTCGGTGGGCACTGACACGGCTACACGTGGCTCGTGTGAGAACACTGACGGCATGTGCACACAAACAACCAACGACAAACC